CACACACACACACACACACACACACACACCACACACACACACACACACACACACACACACACACACACACACCACACACACACACACACACACACACACACACACACACACACACACACACACCACACACACACCACACACACACACACACACACACACACACACACACACACACACACACACACACACACACACACACACACACACACACACACACACCACACACACACACACACACCACACACCACACACACACACACCACACACACACACACACACACACACACACACACACACACACACACACACACACACACCACACACCACACACCACACACACACACACACACACACACACACACACACACACACACACACACACACCACACACACACACACACACACACCACACACACACACACACACACACACACACACACACACACACACACACACACACACACACACACACACACCACACATACACCACACACACACACACACACACACACACACACACACACACCACACACACACACCTCCCCTTCACCCTCCCACATGCTTGCCCCCCCACCCCCTAAATTTCATTCTCCTCGTACTCTTTTCTTTCTTTGGCATTTTATGATTCAAAATTGTATATGTGGTACATGATATCTGCATATACACGAATGAATTCATACACACATATATGATTATCCCATGCATAAATTGAGTTAAGCAATATTTCATTGGCAGGCCTGTGCAGATCCAGTTTACGTGACATCTTTATGCAACTGGGAGTACTTGCCCAAAAGTGGCTTTCCTCTGATTTTCCACGGTGTGAAGGGGAAAGATGAGCGGCAGGGGAACTCTCCTAGTTTCTTCAATGCCCAGGAAGTCAGTGTTAAGTCTCCCTTTTCTTGTCATGAAAATGAACAGATAATGAAAATTAGTGACTGTATAATAAGTAGTTTTGTTATTGTTCACAGTTGAACATATCATGAGATTATAATTGGAAATAAGTCATAGAGAAAAACCCAGACTAGGTCATAAGTTAGATGTTATTATGTTTTTATTTTGTGTTTGGGAATTCTCATTTGATATATTGATCAAAGTGCCATGGCTTAGAGAAAAAAAAAGGAACAAAATGGTCTTCTATTTCTCCACTCTAATGATTCTAAGAAAACTATTCTCAATGGAAGTATCTGAACTTTCTGATACAATGTGGTAATTCCAGGTCTCTCAAGTGATGGACTATGTTCAGAAGCTCATAAACACAAGACGCAATAAAGTTTTGCCCAAGGAGATTGGAATCATCACACCTTACAGACAGCAAGTGACAAAGGTTTGTGTTATTTAATTTGAAATTAAATGCAATGGCCCTTGTATCATGGTTTTCTTATAAAGGAAAATTTGTTTAAGCATTGTTTGTAAGATATCCCAAATATCTATTATCATTATTTCCTTATTTCTACTTGCAGTTGTGACTATAATATAATTATCTTCCTTTTTATGTAACAGATCAGGATGCAACTCCACAAAGTCAAAGATGGCAGTGACATCAAAGTTGGCTCGCCAGAAGAATTTCAAGGTGATGAACGCCGTGTTATTATCATTTCAACTGTCCGGTCAAATGCAGACAAATTGGCCTTTGACCTGAGGCACCAGCTTGGATTCCTTAGAAATTGCAAGGTAAGAGTACACACACATGCAAATGCACACATGCACACAAACGCACACATGCACACACACACTTACACTTACACTTTCACTTACACTTTCACTTACACTTACACTTACACTTAAACACACACACACACACTTACACTTAAGCACACTTACACTTAAGCACACTTACACTTAAGCATACTTACACTTAAGCACACTTACACTTACACACACTTACACTTACACACACTTACACTTATGCACACACTTACACTTACACACACTCACACTCACACACACTCACACTCACACACACTTACACTTACACTTACTCACACACTTATGCTTGCACACACTTAAACTTACACACACTTACACACTTACACTTATGCACACACACTTACACTTATGAACACACACTTACACTTACACACACACACTTAAGCACACTTACACTCACACACACACACACACACACACACACACACACACACACACACACACACACACACACACACACACACACACACACACACACACACACACACACTTACACACACACACTTAAGCACACTTACACACACACACTTAAGCACACTTACACACACACACACACACACACACACACACACACACACACACACACACACACACACACACACACACACACACACACACACACACACACACACAAACACAAACACACAAACACAAACACACAAACACAAACACACACAAACACACACACACAAACACACACACACAAACACACACACACAAACACACACACACACTCACTCACTCACTCACTTACTCACTCAGACTTACAGTATGTCATGATATTGATATTAGA